AAAGTAAAGTTCAATCCCTTAATTAACCTGAGCCCATAATTTTGTTAAACCAAGTGTACTAGCTGTTGTAGGTTTAAAACTATTTTTAGGACTAAAATAAATTTTGAGAAAAAGACAGAATACTAAAAGTTAGTTGGATTTGAGACAATTGTACTCCCTGCATGTTCTCCCCAACAGTCGAACGTTGCATGTACTTTTGACTTTGTAAGCGTCTGCGCTACTAAAAGTTTTTACCATCATAGGCATCTATGCCGGTCATATTTTCATAAATATTGGTTACGGCAAAAAAGTGACTTACATGTCTATACCGACTTTACATTAGTTTTAATAAAAATACGTCCCTAATGCGCAAATATTGCTTTTATAACCAACAAAAATCGATTTACAATGTGCTGTTGTATTTTTAAGCCTTTTAAATATTTATGATTGTGATTTTACTGTTACCTGTGCAGAAATGAAATATTCATACATTTTATTTTCAAGTTTTGTGCATTTAGTGGAATATTTATTTTAATTTTATCTTTTGAACAAGACACACATACCTTGTTTAAATTAAAATGATGACTCCTTCCTATGATGGCATACTGACGAGTTAGGTGTGTTGCAATATTGACGAGTTGAGAAAACTTTTTTTTTCCATAAAAACAACATATTTGTTAGTAAAGAAAAAAGTAATTTTTACTTCACAAAAAAATTTTGTTCAAAAAACACTCAAAACGCAATATCTCTTATTGCGTTTTGAGTGTTTTGCGCATGCGCAAAATTTTGCGTAGAACGAAGGATGGTTACGCGTAATTTCTGGCATTTTTGAGGGAAGATTCTGAGGTCAAATGAAATCGTGCTTTTTTTTTTGATAAAAATAACTAATAAAAAAATTAAACTGATGAAAGCTCCTACCCAGTGAGAATGGTAATAATGGTTCGTTAGCGGCGCGCCGACACTGGCTAAATATTGATGGTCCGAAAACGGGCCTTGCAAGGCGCTCCAACGTCGGCATAAGAAAAGTGGACCGAATGCAGCTTTGAACTGGCATGCCGACGGCGGCGTGCCTACATCAAACCTACAGCGAACCATTAGCGGCTGCCCGACGTTGGAACACCAATAGCGAACCAGCATCGGACCGTAAAAGTATCATGCATTTTAAAAAGATTTATTTCCAAATAAATCATAGAAAAATTTTACGAATATGGTTAACTTTTGGTTATTATTAAGATCCTAATATAACAGTTTACATATATAATATATTCATTTTTTAAGACTATATTTGATGTTCTAATCTAATATAACAATATACTCATTTTTTTAAATGGTGGTCACTAGTTTAAAGTTTGACTTGACATTGATTATTTAAACAAAGTTAATCACTGATTTTTCTTGGAACCAAAGTTAAATGATAAAGATTAAAAAACCATATATAGTTTATATTTACATTTATTTTAATCTCATTTATTTAGTTGACTTTAGATGACTGGTATCTTATTCCTAAAGTTTTATCAATGTTTGCTCCATTAGATAACCAACAACCATAAACAAATATGAAATAAACAAAGTTTAATTTAATTCCATATAAGTTTAAAAACAAATTTGTAAACATCTTTTTTTTTAAAGACTAGTACATAGTAAACCTGAAACTTTTTTCAAACGTTTTTCCAATAAATAAGATAATTGAAAAAAAAATCAAAAAAAGAATATCGGCCTACCTTTGGCAAAGCGATTATGCCGAACCTGTCAAACGGGAAATTTTAAATCTCCCGACTGACAAAAGTGGGCTTGGTATTCTGGAACCAACAAATCAATGTATTTCTTTAAGAACAAAACATCTCTTTAATTTTAAAGAAGTAGAAAAACCTCATGAAGCCACTTTTCTGCTACAATATTTAATAGCAATCCATTTAACAAAAATTGCCACCGAGAAATATGCTCCCTGGAAATTTCTGACGAAAAATAGATTTCCAAAAACTATTAATAATCTGCCCTTCTATCTTAATGACATTATTAACGTTTTAAAAAAAAATGAAAATCTACTACTACTAAAACACAAAACAACTAAAAACATATACCTCTATCTGAAAAACAATAATAATAATAATAAATGGATTAATAGATTACAAATTAATTGGGAAACAAAACTACAAAGAACTTTACCTTGGAATGATATATGGAAAAGAAGTTTTAATTCTTATGCTCAAGGCCCTAGCCAAAACACAATCTGGCGACTGCTGCAAGATAGCCTTCCAACAACAGAAAAAGTTAAAAAATGGAAAAAGAATCGTGGACGTGGTCAAATATCCTGCAAATCATGCAACAAAACAGAAGACACTTTACACCCATTTATACATTGCAGAAAAGCAAGAAGTGTCTGGCTTGCTTATAAGAAATTATATGAAAGACTCATACCAGATCAGCCTTTTAATATTGTCCACACAGTATTCTCGCTAAATATTGAAAATCTTAACAAAAACGATGAAACCGCAAAAATAATAACCACGATAACACACATAATAACCTCGGAGCTATGGAGAGCTAGAAATAAATACGTTAAAGAAAACAAAATATCCCACTCAAAACATATTATAGAAAACATCAAAAGAGAAATAAAATATATATGGACAATCAAATATAACAAAGCCAAAAAAGAAAACAAAACCGAAAACTTCCATAAGATTTTTTCAATCAAAAATGCAATAAGTGAAAACAATATTGGAAACTTAATATTTAAATTCTAACTAACTGAATAAAATTAATATAAAAAAAAAAAAAAAAAAAAAAAAAAAGTAAACCTGAAACTGAATACATTTTAAAATATTTGATAAATTTTTATGTATTTTATATATTTTTGCATATAACTTGAAAATTAAATATTTTAAGGTTTGTAAATAATCATCAGTAAAACCAACAATAGACACAGTTTTAGTAGATGATGAGTCTGATAATAAATAAAGCTATAGATCCAACTGAATCTGCTACATTTAAGCTTCAGAAGCATTTTTAAATTAACCGAATAGATATTTTTGAAGATTGTTTGATATATAGAGTTTAGTGAAAAGTTACCAACGCTAGCAACAAAAAATGTAGAAGCTTCTTTTTTTATAATACAATTTAAGAGCTCTTTCTTAATCAACATTTATTCTTATTTAACTTCAAGAACTTCACTGTATGTGAATCTCATGAAGACTTCATACCACCAAATTCAAAATATTTTGTCTCGGACACTGAGACTTCAGGTTCAGAGAAAGAAACTTTAGTTATTGTTTTATTTCTTATTTGTCATTGAAATTTGTATAAATTATATTATATTTGTTTTTATCCAAGGCTGGGGTACTAATGTTATACAGTTGTATATGTCATAAATTTTAATTTATGACATATACAACTAAGATTTTTAATTTTAAGATTTTTAATTTAAAATTCAAAATCTTAAATTTAAGTTTAGTTGTATTTTGACATTATTAATATTTTTATGTGAAATTATCTGTGATTGTTTTATTTCGACATTATTTAAATTGTTATGTTCAATTGTTTATGATTCATTTATTTTGACATTATTTATATTGTAAATTTATTTATAGACAAATATAATATATATATATATATATATATATATATATATATATATATATATATATATATATATATATATATATATATATATATATATATTAAATAACACAAAATGAGAATTATATACATTGAAAAGTATCAATAACATCTTTTATGGTGCTCTACAGTTGATTTTATAAATTGTCACAGTGCATATTCTTCTTCCTAATATTATTTACAACAGTAAAGTAGCAGTGCTGTTTGACTATTTTCATTAAAGAAAAATTCAATATGTAACAACATGTAGCAGCATAAGACAACATGTAGAGTCAATCTTTTTTTTCCAAAATACTCTTTTTGGCCTTCACGGAATTTAGTTGGCAAAATTTTCTGATAAAAATCTTACAGCCAAAATCTAGTTTTCTCATTAAGTTTCTTAAAAGATAAAATTTCAAATGATTGTCCAAAGGGTATTAATTGTGTAGCAATTATTAATGATTTTTTAAAGCGTATATAAAAATGATTGTCCAAAGGGCATTGGTTGCGTAGAAATCATAGCAGTTATTAATACAAATATCACAAAAAATTGGCAATCATATTAAAAATATATTTATCTCTTACTCTGGATATTACAGTTTTGCAATTGCATTACTTGTGTCTATTGTTAAGTATTTTATTACATTTAAAAAAACTTAAAAAATAATTTTTATTAATCACTCTTATAGAGTTCAGTTATAAAAATGTCTTTTAATCTTAACTTTAATTAGAGTACTAATTACTAATGATGTAAAGTAACCGTTGCTAAGCATATCTATACCGTTGCTAGGGTATTTTGTAAGTTCTCAAATGCGACAAAATATGAATACTTCAAAGATTTTTGTAGGCTTTTTATAGCTTGAGAACATGGATTTTTTTTCAGATATTGGAAGATTCATGTATAAGGAAACCAAATAATTTATACATTCATGGCAGTCCCAAAGCCACGATTGTTATGGGTAATCCATTTTTGGCAATTTACTCCTTCCACGCTCTTGCATGCACCTCATTTTTTTTGTATAAAATCAATGTATGCTTTAGTGGCATTCAAAAATAATTAAGTAATTCATGTACAAGCTACGGTCTTAGGAGACATTTATGCTTAAAGTACGTTTAAAATTTCAAATTTAGCGGTTTTGAACCGTGATTTCTAGACAACAAAAAGTGTAATCATATTAAAATTTTATTTTTTACGGTGACTCAAAATAAAAAACACATAAAATATGCTACTTAAAAAAGTTGGCCTATATAGTCAGTCTCAAATCAATTTCGATAAAAAAAACAGAACTAATACAACTCAAACTATTGTGAATTTAAGGTTTTTATACACAAATAAAACTACTATTAGAAATTTCATTTTGGAAAAAATTGCTGTTTAACAAACTTAAATACTGTTGAAAAATCAACGCAAAACGAAAAAAAAATTCACTGTTTGACACATTTATAAACTAAAATACTGTTGAAAAATTATCGTGAAAACTTGTAAATACAAATCATCAAAGATTACCACATGAATTTTTAAATAAGCAGAAAAACCATAACGGATGTAAACGCTAACATAATCGAGGCTAAAATAAGTGAAGATGAAGTTATAATTTACTAATTATCAACATAACAAAAAAAAAATCAAAATAAATATAAATATAAGCAACAATTTTCTTGGGAAAACTGAAAAATTGCTTTGCTTACAAAAGACAAAACTAGAAAACTCACTTTTTTTGTAACCTTGGTTACAAAATATAAAAGATTTTTTTGATTACCAAGCTAATCAATTTTTTTAACTTAACAAATTTTAAATTTTAATTCTAATTAAACAAGAGAAAATGAAAGAAACCTTTGATAATGAACCCAGATGACCTTGTTTTACTTGTAGTATTACTAGATGTCGGTGTAGAAAAAGCTGGCGTCGGCGTAGCAGAAGCTGAATTACCTATAACAGCAAGTAATTCAATAACATATGTTAACAAATATTGGTTATATAACAGCAAGTAATTCAATAGCAAATGTTAACAAACATTGGTTGTATAACAGCAAGTAATTAAATAACAAATGTTAACAAACATTGTTATTGAACTACATTGTTATTGGTTGTATTTGATAATATTACTTAATTATTATTACCTAATTAATTGTAAAGTTACTAATTCTACTAGAAAGGGAGAAAAAAAACTTTTAGAATTTTTAGCAGTATACCTTATATATTGTATATACAATGCATAAGGTACGTTGCAAAAACAGAATATAAATTTATTTATTTTACTTTTTCCCTGATACTTTTCCCTTATAACAAAATAATGCAACTATTAATGGTCATCGTTGCAAACAATGTTGGCCTACTTAAATACATGTCCAAATCTGTTGTTCACATGTCAAAAAAAAAAACGGTTTTTACGACTTTAAAATGGCCAACAATGTGAGCAAACTATTGTAAAAATGCTAGATAAAGAGGTTAAAGAGACTTATCAGTTTTAACACAATATTCATTAGATTATGGTGTTGTATAGAATGAATACAGAACAAAAATAATTAGAAAATTTTATGAAAAGTTTAACAAATATTTAGTTATGAAAAAAACTATAGAGAAATGCAAAAAGCGTTATACTTCACACTTTAAGTTTTTAACTGATACGTAGTTATGCATCTGCTAGAAAGAATAACTATACATACTTTACACTTGTTTATATATGTTTTTCATGCACAAAGCCCATATGAAACTTTTCTGTAATAATATGGTGAAGGAATAGGTCTTTCTTAGTGTGGTTTTAAATGGTACAAGCATGATAGGTTCAATATTTTTGGAGACATTTGTGATATGTGCACATACTCTTGATAAGAGAAACACAATCTCTTGCAAAGTGATTTCTCCCTAATCACTTTCAAACTGCTTTTCAACTGAATGAGTGCAAACTCCAAATCACTTTGATTTGGTAGTTTCACTCATAAAATACTGAAAGCGTTAAGTTGTATTTTTTTTTGAAATTAAATTTCAAAAATGTTTTCACTTTTCTTTCAATTTTGATACAAAAAACATACTTTTTAGTTAGAAAATGTGTTTAACCTAATATGGTATTAAAACACTTTATTAGAACCAATAGATATGACATCAATGGCAGCTCTTAAAGAGAAGCTGTTATTATATGGCTGACATGCTTTCCACACATAGCCCACATGAAACTATTAGGCGCAGTTATTGTGCAGCCTTCCTTTATATTTAGTATGATTTTCAGTGGTATAGACATTATAGCCACACATTGACCGGACCAATGTTGACCCATAATGAAAAGTGGTAGGCGAATTTTATTATGTTGTCTAAACTTTCCACATGTAGCCCTTATGAAACTTAAACATACAAATGTAGTGTGGCGTTCACTCTGATTTAGAGTGATTTTAATACTATAAGTATTACAATCACACATGATAACTTGTAATAAGACAAAAAAAAACATATCCAAATAATTTTAGGAATGAAAAGCTTGTCTTTAAACATATAAAAAGTTAAGAAAAATGTAAACAATTAGTTTTAGGAAAAAATCTAAAGAAAACAATTGTAATGCAACGAAAAGTATTGAATATTTATGCAAAAAATAGTAAAACTATAAAAAAAACACACAACTTCCTAACAAAAAAATTTTAATACAAAGCAACATAAATGAAAAAACATAATTTAGCTTAACATAGCTATGAATTAAAACAAAAAAAAAAGAAAAAACTTCAAAGTAAGAAATAAGCAAAGCTAAACTAAATAAATAAATAAACAAAAACAAATTAGCAAAGCAAAGATAAACCAAACTAAATTGGCATAATAAAAATAGATAAATAAAAAATAATAACATATGTAAACAAAAAAATTGCAAAAAAATTGCAGGTTTAGTTTTGTTAAGATCAAGTTTTTTTGAGATTCAGTTTTATTTAAAATCTGTTTTGTTAAAAATTAAATTTGTTAAACAACACAAAAAAAAAAAAAAAAAAACTAAAAGCCTAAACAAGATTTATCAAAACAAATTACAAGTTATAAAACGTTATAAAGTTAAAAAGTTGAATGTATCCCATTATCAAAGAGCTCAAACATATTATACTTTAAAAGTATTATTACAAATTTCTTTAAACTTTGCTTTAATTAAAAAAAAAAAAAAGATAAAATAAATTTTTTATTTTATTTATTTACACTTTGCCAATAAAAAAAATTTATGATCGTAACTTATAAAAAATAATTACATAACCAGGGCTAGAAGAGGACAAATTTAGTCTTATCATTATGACCCAAATTAAATATTAAACAATTATTTCTAAAAAACATCCACTTTTTCTTTTCTGAATTAGCTTAATTTTATTTAAATTCTGAGTTTCTTTAAATTTTTTTTCAGAAATCTGAACAAATTTTTTTTAATTTATAGTTCAATATTACATAACTGTCTTTTTAATTTTGAAGAGTATGTTTCAGGTTTTAATTTTTTAGTAGAGTATAGTTTTGAGTATAGTAAGTTATAGTTTTTATAGAGAAAAGAGTGTTTTCAAGATCTTACACATGAGACAAAATATAATTTTTTATAACATATTGCATTGTATTTACAATTTTATGGTCAACATTTTTAAAATATATATCTATAAAACCAATATGTACTTATGTTTGTAATAATAAACTAAATTAGCGTATTTATATTTGTATTGCATTAGATAGAAAAACTTCTTAAATATTTGTATTTGATTGAAATGTATTAGTAATTTGATACACTAGGTTGTTTTTTTTTTTGCAAAAACTAAGGGATTTGTTGTTTTCTTTTATTTTTAACACTAAAATAAGTTACAAATTTGTATTTAAGGGATAATAATAATAATAATATATTTTCTGTTGAGGGTTGACGCCAAGTCAACCCTATAACTCAAATAACAGGTTTTACAAAATTTTACGAAAAAACTTAAATAAAACCAACAATTACCTAGCAAAACATAGCTTGTCTATTTTCGATTTAAACTCATTAATGGACTGCAATTCAACAACTGAACTAGGCAGTTTGTTCCATAATTTTAACACTCGAATTGTAAAGAAATTTTCACAAAATTTTTTTTTCACAAAGATCATTTTTGAAATAGGTATCATTAATCGCATGATGATCTGATTTTCTTAAATTAGCTTGTTTATAATTTTTTTTAGGAGGAACCAGTCATTCAATTTTTTCTATATTTTTATAGCATTTAAAAAATTGTATTAAATCCCCTCTTTTTCTTCTTTTGAATAGAGTTGTTAAATTTAACGAGTATAATCGTTTTTCATATGATAGATGTCGTATTTCTGGGATCAATTTTGTCGCTCGTCATTGTATGTTTTCAAGGATATATATATCTTTCTCCATATGAGGTGACCAAACTTGAATTACATATTTAAGTTATGGTCTTACATATTTTATGTACAATTGTCTAAAAGATGATTTGGTTTTGTATTTAAATATTTTTGACTTTGTCTACTATTTGTTTTCGCTACTGCTGATTTAATTTGAACTTCCCATTTTAAATCTTGCGAAATTGTTACTCCTAAATCTTTTTCCAACTCAGTAGTGCTAAGAACTTGTTTAAAATCACCTTGCCCAAAAGTATATAAGTGTTTTGGATTTAACTTGCCAATGTGCATAACCTTGCATTTAATTAAACTTCATCTTCCATATTTTAGACCATTCTTCTATAATGTCAATATCAATTTGTAACATTACTCCTAATATCATTTTAACATTTTATTAATATCATTTGTAACATTACTCTAACAATATCACTTTGTAACATTTTGAAATATTACTTCTTTCATCTAATAATGCAATAACTTTGGTCCGCATATAGCTCGCATGGACTTTTAAGTAATGAATACAAATCATTAATATAAGAATTAATGGATCCTTGTAGGACACCACTTCTGACTTCTAGCCATAATGAATTAACATCACCATATATAACTCTTTGACTTTGACTTAATAAGAAAGATCTGATCCAATTTTATAAATAAATTCAATTTTATACCATAAGTCAATAATTTTAGTAGTAATATTTCATGTTCAACAGTATCAAAAGCATAATCAATGTATAAGGCATCAACTTGTTTTCCATTTGCAAATGAAGACGTAACAAATGATGTTTGTTAAAATACTTGTTTTCATTCTTCTATTTAGTTCTTCTATTTATATAACATTTTATTAGTATTGTATTAAAACAATTTTTGTATTTTTTCTAAATATTTATATTTATATTTGGAAAATGCCGATAAGATAAATTTTTATTTGAATTTGTATTTGAAAACCTAAAATTAAAGTTTTTGTATCGGAGCATATGTATTTGAAAACCCTGATGATAGATTTATTATTATTTAACAAAGATAATAACAATTCATTTAATCTTGCTTACATTATGATTAAGTCTTAATTTAATCTTTACATAATGTTTAATCCTTACAGTTTTATTTTTTCCTAACTTTAAATTATATTTTGTATATAAAAAATTTATCTTAAAAAATATATTTTAACTTTTTGATTTAAAGAATATATTTTTATTTTTGATATAAATGTATTTATAATTAAATTTATTTGTGTATTTTGTTTAAACTTAAATTATATAAAGTTAAATTTATACTTATGACTGTTGTAATTATTTTGCAAGTTATAGTAATTATGCATATGTATGTATGTATGTATGTATGTATGTATGTATGTATGTATGTATGTATGTATGTATGTATGTATGTATGTATGTATGTATGTATGTATATATATATATATATATATATATATATATATATATATATATATATATATATATATATATATATATATATATATAATAGAATGTGTCTTTTTTTAAGAATTTTTTCAAATTAAATCCCAACCAATTGGATTAAAGGATTAGTTGACCACTTGGATACAAATGATTTAACAATAAAATTTTTTTTGTGTTTCATTGTTAAGGTTCCCACTTTTACAGTTTGTGCCCCGAAACCCCCACTTTTTAACCAAAAAGCAGGGACCTTAAACATTGAAATATAACACCAATTTTTGTGTCTATGAACTCTAAAAGGCATGAATATTAATTTAAAATTGGTTGGGAAGTTTACTTATAAAAATATATACTAATTTAGACCAAGAAAAATAGCTTTACTTTGTATAATTTGTAAATATATTTAAATAGAATAGCGTTCATGATCAAATATTACTCACGTCTGTCACAAACCAAAATAATTTTTATTGTATTATTTTTTTAAAAAAAATAGAAAAAATTAAAAAACGATTGTGTGTCACACTTTTACTAAAGCTAAGAAAATTTTTTAAAATTTTTAGGCATTTATAAGTTTTACTTTATAATGAAAAATAAAAAGAAGTAAAAGTAAAGATGCTACCAAAAATTATGAGATATTTGTAGCATCTTTACTTTTTCGAAGACATTTTTAGCAATATGTCCTCCGAAGTGCATCATTTTTGCTACGAAAAAAAACCATGAATTGATGGAGGATATGACAATGGCATTTTTTATGACAAGTACATCAGGTTTGCAAAATAATATATAATTATAGTTTTTGTATTTTTACTGTATTTTAATTTTACTTATATTAATTTGTTTTACTTATATTAATTTGTTAACTTGACTCTTTTCACTATTTTTGCTTCTGATATGAGGCTACATAAAAATTTTTTAAAACAATTGGAAAAAAATTCAATAAATATTATGTGTTCTTGGAAACTACTAAATGATCATGTTAAAAAATGGTCAATGTTTAAAAAAAATAAAAATAAAAAAGGCAATGCAGCAACACTTATTTCAAAGGATTTAGAATAATGCTGAAAGATGAAAATAATAGAAGAAAGAAGATATTTAAGATTTATTGAACAACAAGAGAAGCAAACTGAGAAAACTGAGTTTTTATCATCAGAACAAAGTGAAGTCTCCTCCGGTCAGGATTCCAACTATTCAGCAAATGAAATTAAATCAGGTTCTAGTGCTTCAACAGTATCACCTAAAATATTTGCAAAAGAAGTTGCAACTATACGTGTTTCTAAAAACATTTCATCTAGAAATACGATGTACTTGCTCACTGACATAGTAGTTATCTGCGAGCAGTTTGACAGTTTTCTCTCTTTTTGAATTTTTTTTAAATCATTTTGAGACATGCAAAATAAAAAGCAATAAGTACAAGTTCAGTTAAATATTGAGAAGTTATAATGAAGCTGTAGAGAAAAGTAAATTTCCAATAATCGCACACTTTGAAGTAAAATTTTTCCAGGATATTACCAACAGTACAAAACAAAAAAGAGTTTTACACTTCTAGTAAATATCATGATGGTGATTTATAGCTTCTTGGCATTCTGCTAATAAAACACAGTACTTGAAAATTTCATTATGACACTTTAGTAAACATTTTGGATGAATATAAGCTAAGAACTTATATAAAGGGTCTGTGCTTTGACACAACTGCAACTAATACAGGAAAATATTCCGGCAAAAACATTAGATTCTGTCAAAACGCAGGGTTCAATTATATTACAGCTTACGTGTGGAAAACATGTTTACGAGCTTCACTGTAAACATTTTTTGGGAAAAGGTTCACATTTGTAAAATGCTTCTGAAAATTTAATGTTCAAAGTTTTCCAAACTAATTGGAACGCAACAAAAGAAACATGGATTAATCAAATGTTGGAAACATGGATAAATCAAAGATCAAAAAGTTTGACAAAGTTGCATTTAAAGGAACCTAGAAAAACAGATTGAAGAAACTATTTAATTTTGCAAATATGTACTAGCCAATTTAGTATTTCCAAGAAGTGATTATAAAGAACTAGTAGAACTTACACTCACTTACTTATGTCTAGAAGTAAGCTTTATTTATTAAATTGCTTTAATGTTTATGCTCCAATATCAGTTTCCCATGCATGTTTTATGACGAAGTCTAAATATTATCTTAAAATTCAAGTTTTAAGTAATCCATTGCCCTGCCAATCGACAGCTTGTTTAAAAAATAAATCAGTAAAATGGCAGAATTAATTTTTATTTTTTATACCATGTGGTTTGTGCATTACTCTTTAGTTTTCTTTGCACCTTTTCAAAGTATAAAAGCATACTGGCAGATGGTCCAGTATAAAAGTTGGGTAGAATCTTATGATCAAGGAGCTAATGATGTACAAGAGGAAATTGAAGAAATATTGAAATCAATGAAGAAACATATGTTGTACTTGAATCAAACTTGATTTCATTATATCTCACAGATAAAGAACTTTGAAGATGATAATAAAGAAAAAGTTCTTTTCTCACAACCTGTTCCGACACACTATGAGAAGTCTGAGAATCCAATTCTTCCGAAAGGTCTAGACCTCACCTAGGAGAAACCACCTACTTTGCCACAGTTGGTTGGTAGGAGGTTGTGGCTTATTTTCAGTCTGTTAAATTTGAGTAAAGACCATAATAAACCTTGGCTAAACTGTCTTATCTTTTTGGGGCTTTATCGACCAATTTAAAACTTTCATTGAATTTGTTTGCCAAATATATGTAATCTACAACTGCTCTGAACTGGCAATTAAACTTGTGTCAGAGTTTGTTAATTCTGTTCATAATGAAGAGAAAAAACAAGATATAATGTTTGAACTTGAACAAAATAAAATTGTTTCATTAAAACGCATATTTTGTAGAGCCTATATGAAAAATAAAACTTTATATATATATATATATATATATATATATATATATATATATATATATATATATATATATATATATATATATATATATATATATATATATATAATATATATATATATATATATATATATATATATATATATATATATATATATATATATATATATATATATATATATATATATATATATATATATATATAAACATGTATATTAATTTTTATTCAAATCCTTATTTAATAAAATTAAAAAAATAAAATAAAAAATTAATAATGAAAAACCTCAAAAGAAATTATTGTCTTTTTTAAACTATTAAAAGATTTTGTTTTTTCACTCACTTGGCATGCCATTTTTAGTCCAGTCTATAGTATAATTAGTTGAGAACTTGTCATTGTGGTGTCTTAACAATCCCAGGCCTAAAAAAAGAGACATAGGATTTCAGATTTACAGAGCATTACAGATGTATCAATTTTTTCAAAATAAAATTTGACAGTGCCGTTTTGTAAAATTAATAAATTCTTTCAAATTTAGAGTCATTAAACTGTGTAGAGATGCACAGTTTAAAGACTCTTAGAAACTCTTCGAGTTATAGATTTCAATATACCTTACTACCTAACAACATCAAAACCATTAAAATGAGTTTCAGAGCTATATTCTTATTAAAAGGCATAAGCAAGAACCCATAAATAACTTGAATTCTGAAATCAAGGAATTATAAAGTATGCATGGTTTTCATGAGTCAAGTAGAATTTTGACAAAAATTTTGTCTTTTTTTATTATGACCCAAATGCAAACTTATACATATATGTCATTGCTAAAAACATACTTTTACATTTTCATATGTTATTTAGATATGCAGTTGTTTTTTAAAGCATAAAAATAGATATCATACTTGTTAGATTGTTTCCGTATGCTAATGCAGCTATGTACTGTGTATCATTAAGAGGAAGCAAACTGTCAGCATATATTCCTACATCTAAAGGACGCGAGTACCTTAAAAATAAACATAATTATCAATTTATTATTTATAGTTACATAATGGAAACTAAAATATTCATGGATGGTGTTTATATATACTTATAACTATACTTAAAAGTAATAAAAAATTTGCAGACCTACTATATCTCATTCATTGTAAACATTGACGCTTTCAGCAGATACACACATGCATTGTTGCTTTAAGTACATACATACATACATACATACATACATACATACATACATACATACATACATACATACATACATACATACATACATACATACATACATACATACATACATACATACATACATATATACATACATACATACATACATACATACTTAAAAACATAAATACCAAACATACATACATGAATAGATATGTAGATACATATACATATATACATTATTTGTTCCCTATTTGACTCACATCAATCAAAAATAAGAAAAAAGTTTAACAAAAAAAAATTAACTAGTATATAAAGCATTTTTTTAGATCATATATGGAGCATGCAAGACCATTTTATTGATATTGCATTTTAGTGAATTATGTGGTTAATTAGTATAAACTACCCAATACCACTTAGTTGTATTAATGGTTTAATTTGATTGCCTATTTAATTTATATCTACAAGAAATAATATTAGATTTAGAATAGATTTATAATAAAAATAAAGAATTTTATTCATTTATTGTTTTGCTTGAATTTAAAATATTTTAGAAATTTTCTGAATCAAATAATAATTGGTTTTTCAATAAGTTGGAAATTTTAAAGTTATAGTTTTTAATAAAGTCAAATTGAACAATATAAAAATGAATTAAATAAAGATTCCTTGAGTAAAAAACTGACAATGCGTGATGTGAAAAGCTGTAAATTGTACAATGCTCAAAAAAACTGGTATATTGTAAAAGAGACAAAAATATACTTTTCAAATTTAAATTAGTTAAACAAATTTATTTTTTATGCATGATAAGAAAAGAATAACAATAAATTCTTCTATTTGTATGTTCTTAGGGCACAGACCTATGGATGGGTTAATAATTTTAGTATAAACTTCAAATTTCTTATATACAAGGCAGAGTTATTCTCTTTATAATACTGAGTTATTCTCTACATAATACTCTCTTATAATATCTTTATAATACTAGCTTTATGTTAAATGCACCTTATATTTTTTTCATAGAACTGCTAATGCTTACAATAGATATATCCCAGACAGCACACGCTGTTGCAACTATATTAGTAACAAGCCATTACTGGCACGCGACTCAAGCAACTTTTTATGTACGGTAAATCATCGCAAACAGTCGCAGCAGCATGCAACGAAATGCCTGAATTCTGGCAAGTAGTTGTAAGCCACTACAACGGCATTTGATTTCGGGCCAGCACTAACACAATTGCGATGAATACAGTGTTTTGGACGAATGTCGTTTTAAAATAATTGCCATTAACTAAATGTTATTTTAGTTATCCATGGTAATACCATAAAAGCAAAACTAAACGTTTACAAGATATATTTTGTTATTACAACTAAATGTTATTATACTTTAGTTATGTACAAATGTTATGCTGATATTATATCAGCATAACTTTTATGCAAAAGATATGCAAAAGATGCTTTAATAAAAAACACTGTTGGTAATCAAGTTAGATATATATATATATATATAAAATATATCTTTAAATTTAAATATTTTTTAAATATATATAAAATAAAATTTTTTATGAGGCTAGACATTTCTAACTTTGACAAAAAATTGTTTTTTGGGGTTTTTTTTGGTTTTTTTTTAAAAGGTCTCTGCTTTGAATTAGTCTTGTAATATTTACATTGTCCCTTCACAAAAATATTATTATAATATATATACTATATTCGATATACTATATGTATATAGTGTATATGTATAAGTATATGTGTATATTGTATAAGTGTATAGTGTATATCATATATATGCATGTGTGTATAGTGTATATCATATACATCATTATAGTCTATAATAATGTTTACTTACCAAATATTTATCTTAAAGCAACATGTGGCAGTATGTGTAAGACAATGAAATTTGTTTAGTGAAAAGTATTTATAATTTTCATGAAACTACCTACATTGTGTATTTGTAATTTTTGACAAAATCAAATTTTTTAACTTATCTTTATGATTCAAGCCTGTTAGGAATATATAGCATTAAATTTAGAAAAAATTGAACATGTTTCAATTTTAAATGACAACATTCTCCAGTGTGTCATGCTGTACTTGTTATAGTTTGTACATAGTTTATTTTTGTTGTTGATAACAAAAGTGCTTATTATTTATTATATAGATATTATTATATAATTTATTTTTATATTATTATATATCATTATATACTTTTAGTTTTTTTTATTGGTCTATATTTTAACATTTTTCAAGTTTAAGTTTATTTTGATTATCAAATATAACAAAATAATCAACTGTAATTACACTTAATGCCTATAATTCTTATTTTTAATATAATTTTTTACTACATTTAGCATATAATTTATTTCTATGAGAATTATAAATAAATTTTATCATATTGTTAAATTTATTGATGAAAAAAAATTCAGTGGCTGTTTTTCATGTAAAATGCATAACAAATGGTATTTATGGATGGCCATGCTCCTTTATGACCCACCACATATACCATTAAAAAATGTAAATTCATATAAATAATTATATGAATGATTAGATTGATTAAGATAAAAGTATTTTGTATAACTCTGGTTAGTTATTTTATGTATATTTTTACAAATATATATTTTTTCTACAGTATATAAATTTTTTGTTTGTTTTTTATTTGAAGTATTTTTTTAACAATTTTGAACTATTTTGATTTTTTTTGTTACATACAACTAAACAAAAGGCAAATTATCTATGGCAAAAGTTTCTTCAGACTTTTTTTCAAACAACGAAGGGTAAGACCTAATAAAATTAGAAGTAAACAGATTTCAGAAAAGTGTTTGTCCTAACAGGTGATGATCACGATGATTGTGATGATGATTTGACATACGTTAAAATGATGATCATATGTAACTTAGATAATGATCATCATATAATGATGTTGGTTTACTTTCATTATTTTATAGAAATGTATATTGTTACAGTTACAGAAAAAAAAGAAAGTTGTAAATAATAAAAAAAGATACTCGCTCCTGCCTGTGTTCTTCCTCCTTTAACATTTTTATGTACTGAAAATTTGACTTCTTTAGATCATTTAAAAATAAATAACTTTTTAAAACAAGGCTCTGCTTCTGAAGCTTCAGAAGAGGATGTATTTTTATACTTTTTTCATTTGAATATTCTTTTTTTCTTATTGTAAATGAATTCCGAAAAAATGTTTCATTTATTAATTACTTTTTATATTTAGTATAAATAAATATAATAATAATAATAATAATAATAATAATAATAATAATAACATTTTACTTATTAACTTTAATGCAAATATTGCACAATATATATTATTTCAGGTTATGCTTTTACCTATAAAAATAACAAATCAAGTAGTAGGTTTTGAGTCAAACAACTTGAGTTCATTTTACGACATTTTACGCTATGTCCTGTTACATATTTTTGACCCAAAAATTAAAAAGTAAAAATGATTAAGACCTAAATGATAAAGAAATGAAAGAAAGAACTTAAAACAATTCTTTTTTTCAATGAATAAATTTGAAAATACTTGCTAAAAAATTTGTTATGCTACATTTTCTATTTCCTAAAAACTAATTGATACAGTATTTAAACGCAGATAATAAGGCAATTAATTCTTTTAACAAAAGAGTTGATAAAGCATTAAAGAATAAAAAAACAGTTAACAAGTCAAAGAGATTTTTCAGCAATAGAACCACATCAAATTTGACTTGAGCAAGACAATACTACATATGCCATTTGTGCTCAATCTTGCAAAAATGTTTCAGCTCTAGAAAAGGGTTGTTGAATAAAAAAGTCAACTTGGCAAGCAAATCTATTAAAAAATATTCCACAATAATCAGCTAAAAATTAAACTTTTTATTCCAAAAAAAGATGTACTCAGTACTATTTCAAAAGTATATGTATATATGCTTGGATGTATATATGCTTCCAGTGGTTCACAAAAACAAAAACTTTATTTAAAAATATGCTTTATAAGATTCTTTTGAAGCATATAAAATTGTTTTGCTGTTAAAAAATATAAAACCCAGAAAACATTTAGATATCATACACAATCTGCTCTGTATACACATAAAGCTAATTTTCTTAGATAATAAAAAAGAAAATTCAATTTAAAAGGACCAACCAATATTGCTACTTACGTCAAAGGCAATTCTAATGAAATTAAGGATTGTCTATACAATTATTGTAAAGAATCCAATCCAGCTGTCAAAACCATCAATAGATATAGTGACACGTTAATCAGGCAAAAATGAATCCATACATGCTGCTCAAAAATATATTTTAGCAGCATGTATTAACGCAACTAAACACACAAGAATCAATCAAATTACCTTATTATGCTTTACTTACGAGCAAGTGAAGTAAGTTCCATTCACAGTAGTCTGTAATAATGTCACATATGCAACCTAAAAATAAAAATAGTTCACATTTATAAAGGTTATACTTATTTACAGTCTCTTGCAAAGTTTTAGAATCAATTTTTTAGGAAAATCCATAATTTTTGGAAATTGACATACACAAATGACACAAAGCTAAGATTTATTTTATGTTATATACATACACATTAGATTGCTTCATTTTGAGGCCATGAAAAAATTTAAAGTACCATGGAGCCGACCAATATTTTATTGGTAGAATTTTTTTAATTTGAATTTTATGAAAATTAAATTTTTTTTCTTTCCAGAGTTTCTTCTAAGTTAAAAGAAAAAAATTAAAATTTTAGGTAATTTTATTTTTTTGAAATAATTTGTCTAAATTTATCTACAAAAATGCAAAGTTATGTAGATTTTTACCAATTTTAATCTATTTTAATTTTAATCAATCTTAAACACATTAAGCAAATTACAATTTAGCAAAGAAGATATTTAATTTTGGTTTAAAAACACAAGAAATAAATATTGATTACTTTCATGATATACTTATTCCATATACAGCTATTTACTACATATTTATTCATGCCAGGAAAAAGTAAGAAAAACATTGACACGCAATTTTTGGTAGGCAAATCCAGGTCATCCTTACAAAAAGACAAGTTTTCTACATAATAAGAGGTTTTGCAATACTTCTTGCATTTAAAGGAGAAGCACCCAATACAAAAAGAAAGTAGAATTATTCTCTGTCCATTGACAAAAAAACTTTGAAATCAGCTGCCATGATGAAAAACATTTTTGCTGTTTCAATGTTGCTCTTTAACTCTTTTAAAATTGCTCCTTGGATGATAGGTGGCTCCTTGGATGATAGGTGGCTCCTTGGATGATAGGTGGCTTTCTTATACAACTAATGTCTGCTGTTAAATAAATGAATTAATAGAAATAGATGTGTTGTTAAAAATACCAAATCTAAAAATCACATTTAGTATAAAGAAAGAGAAGCTGTTCCGATCCTGGAAACTGTTAAAAAAAACAAGGCTAACTTTTTTAAAGATTAAAAAAAAGAGAATATTTTTAACTCAGATAAAAAGGATCTTTACTCAACTTTACTTTAAGCTCAATACTGTGGTTCTAATCATTAAACCTGATACGAAATGAAGTAATAGGAAAACAAGACTGAAGATATTACACATTTTATTGGACCAATTAGGAGATAGAAAAACTAGAATAGGTGGAATTAACACATGTACCTTTTTTTTGTAAACAGGAGTTTATCCAAGTTTGAAATGAAATCAAATTTGCATGAAACCATGTCAGAGAGTAAATTCAGCTCAAATGGATCCAAGAAAGATGAAGATAATGAAGATTTTCCATACCCAGATCTTAAATTAAAGAAAAAGGTCAAAAAAGCTGATACTGTTCTACCCCAAAAATATATTCTCAAGAGAACTGCTTATAATGCTGTTGGGGAAAGAATAAATCATAGGCAGCATGCTTCAATGGTTAATAGTATAATTGCTAAATTGGATGGAAATATAGCTGAATTTAAACGTTCATTCTCTACAGCATTACAACCAGCAGATCATCAAGGTCATTCATGATGAATAAAGAGGATCAAGGACGATTTAAGAAATTTCAAAAAAATCAATAAGAACATTTTAATTCAACTTCATTTTGATGGAAAAGTATGTCATGAATATACTGATGGGAAAAAATTGGAAAAAGATCAACTAGTAATTTTAATAAACAGTAAAAATAGAAACGCACCTGTTGGGAATTCCAGCAATTTCTGGAACTGGCAAAAATCAAAAAAATGCGATCTGAAATATCTTAAGTAGCTTTAACCTAACAGAAAATATACAAGCTGTTACATTTGATAACACCAGAATTGACGCTTGAAACAAAAATAGAGCTGTATCTTTACTGGTAAATAAAGACTTTCAGCGACCAGTTTTATCTATTGCATACTGACATCATGTCAATGTGCTACATATAACACATTTCTGGAAAAATCCAAAGTAGCATTACTTCTGCACCAGATAATATACAGTTTAAATCTTTAAAATCAGCATGGAATGATCTAGATAGGTAACAACCAGGTAGGGTTGTCTACATCTAGATCATTCCATGCAGATACATAATTAGCTACCATTTTTGTAAAATATTATTTTTTCCCAATATTTTTTTTTTCCGATTCTGAGTTCTAAAAGAACTTTTAAACTCATAAAGGACAACATTGATATTTTAAACTCATAAATGACAACATTGATATTTTAAACTCATAAAGGACAACATTGATATTTTAAACTCATAAAGGACAACATTGATATTTTAAACTCATAAAGGACAACATTGATATTTTAAACTCATAAAGGACAACATTGATATTGCTAAAAAAGAAGAAAAAAGTATGTATTCACTTTTACTTTTGCATAACTACAAAATGAAGTAAGTAACAAAAAAAAAAACATAAAAATATAACAATATTTTCAAAAAATAAAACATTTATAAAGAAATTTGTTAAATGAAATCGCTAAACATTTTATGCAATATATCTGTTGTTGTTTTTTTCCAAATGACTTAACATATCTAAAAAGATATTTCATTGCATAAAAATTGGTAAAAAGAAGCATAAACCTGCGGTTTTGTAGATAGATGAACATAAAACAATTCAGATAATTAAAAATACCATTTTTATTTGTTTCTTCTAACTTAGAAGTAACTCTAGAAAGAAAATTTAATTATTTTGAGTTTTAAAGCTTGCTTAAGTGCCAAAAATGGGCTTAAAAAAGGGTAAAAAAATAAAAATAAGACAATTGAGGCAATGAGCAACACCTAAAAATCTGAGCATGCGCAGACCCCTATTTTATTAGTAAATTTTTTTTTGATAAGCATCATATCTTTTTTGATAAGCATCATATCTTTTTGATAAGCAACATATCTTTTTGATAAGCATCATATCTTTTTGATAAGCATCATATCTTTTTGATAAACATCATATCTTTTTGATAAACATCATATCTTTTTGATAAACATCATATCTTTTGTATTATCTTATTTATATATATGTAATTATCTTTACTAAAAATCTTATCTGCTGCGCGCAAATTTAAAAAATTCTACTAAAAAAATATTGGTCGGCTTAATGGTACTTTAAATTTTTTTATGACCTCAAAATGAAGCAGTCTAATACAAATGTATGTATATAACATATATTAAATCTTAGCTTTGTGTATGTCATTTATTTATGTCATTTTTAATAAGTTATGGATTTACCCAAAAAATACTTAACTGATTCTAAACTTTTGCAAGAGACTGTACATTTAAATTAATTGTTAATTTTTGATTACACTAAAATAAATAATTTTATTTTGTTTTTAAAATACTTTTGTGTTGAAAAACCAATTTAACAGCAAAATGGAAAAAATTTATTAATTAACTTTTAAAATATTAATTTTTTTTTACATTAAATTGAATATATAAATATTCTTGTAATATAGAAAAATCATTATAAATATATAAAAATTTTCTTCAAAAAAATCTAATTAAAAACTTTTATATTTTTAATTTAAACTAGATTTTTCATTTTAGATTTAGTATTTTTCATTAAAAGTTGTTTATTAATAAAAAATAACAACAACAAAAATTAAAAAATTAAATTTTTGTAACCTACAGATTTGAGGGTTTTTAGAAAAATTTTATTTTAAAAAAGTCAACAACATATATGTGTTACAAATAATTTTGTAACATGAGTTATACAAAAATTTGAATTATAATTTTTTTTTTTTTTAACTTTATTATTTTGACATTATCAAAATACTCCATTTCTTCCATTTCCAAAAAAACCTCAATTCTAAAAACCATTGTTCCCAAATAACTGCTAATTATAAGGGGTCTCAGTTATTCGAAATTATAAGTCTCCGTTATTTGAAATATTCTGTTTTTTAGGTATTACAGTTATTATTAGTGGTCAGTTAATATTTTAGGTTAATTTTACATACTTTGGTGCAAACAAAGTTAAAAGTGAAAACCTAAAACTAAAATCGAAAAAAAACATTGTATTGAATCATAAGGTATAATTCTTTTTTTTTTTTTGCGCATTTCATTTTGTATTTTTTTATTTACGTACATTGTGATACATAAGATGTGTTTTAAAAAGGGCAGCTTTTAAGAAAGAGTAACATGCAGCTCAATAAAGATGCAAAAATTTATCAAATCTTGCCATCAACTAAAAATGTTTTTGAGCATGATCTAATGATGAAAGTTAAATAGACAGTATCACTACAAAAAAATAAAAATTCAGAAAATTACCCCTTTTTGTAATAAACCTATTGCATGCTGACATCATGTCAATGTCAGATTATTACTAAAGCTAATAACATACCAAAAATTTGATTATTATGATATTTAACTGGCTATTAGTTATAAGCAGTCAGTTATTGAGATATCTTCAAAATATATAATTCTATGTTTGGTTGAGTAATAAACTTTCCAGTTGAATACAATTAGCAAAAACGTGAGAAATACTTAATGAATTAATTTCAAATAATTTTCAAAATAAGGTTTATTGTACCATTTAAAGTTGTGTACAGGTTTCAAAGGATGATTAAAAAAGTAAATAAATTTTTAAAGGTGTAGGTGCCATCATAAACTAAATCTTGCTTTCAGAGACTTATTTCAATGCTTTTATCCATTTTTGCTTCAATTCTATATCATTATTTACTGATTTGTTGCTTTTTAACAAGATTCCTTTTTTAAGTGCCCAGTAATTCATTTTCAAGCACTGCTCAGGACAGTTTGAAGATCCAAATCTTTCATGGCAATCATAATGCCATTTTGACTGTACCACTCCATTGTTGGATTAGTGAATAATTGCAAAAGATAACTGTTTTTGAAGTCATTTAATGATTTACAAATCAGGAATCAAAGTCTTTTGAGTGACAACTGGAGCACTCTTAAGGCCACAAGAGCAAACAGCTTGTAACAAAATGATCTTCAAAGCAAACTTTTTTGTCTGAATATACTTAAATTTGTGGTTAACATAGACACCTAGTAACTGATAATAATATTAATTGCTGAGCAACTATCAAGACAACTATTTTGCAGTACATTTTGTTATCCCAATGATACATAAATTTTATTGGTTAAAAAGTTTGATGAGCTTCTTTGCATCAATTGATTGCTTCTAACTTTTTTCTTGGTGTAAGCTTCAAACTTTTTGGTCAGAACTTTTTAGAATGAATGAAAAGAATACTTGTTATTTACTGCATTTTTTTTTTTGTTTATTAATATTTATTATGATTGTTTATTATTTTTTTTAAATTGAATTCTTTTAACCCCTTTAGTCTCAGGCACATAAAATACAAGCAGTGATATATATATATATATATATATATATATATATATATATATATATATATATATATATATATATATATATATATATATATATATATATATATATATATATATATATATATATACGTACATATAACTTATTATTTTAGTAGTATTGCTTACTTTAAAACAATTTTTATAATTCACATAAAAAAAAATTTTAAACTAAATTAATCAACTTAACTATTGTAGCAAACTATCATTGATGTTTATTACTATTGTCAATTTGATTATATAAATTTATGTCTAACAGAGTTAGACATAAGATTATTAAAATAACATAAATCAGGGAGTTTTTCTTGTGAAAATAAAGTTATAAAACCTACATTTGAAGTATTTATGTAATTCACCATACCAATGCCCAATGATTTGAACAACCCAAATTTAGGGATTCCATCACTTCCTAATATGCAATATGCGCCATATAAATTGGTCTAAAATAAATAAAAGAAAAAATGTTTTTGAATGTTGGAAACTGTAGTTCACCCAGTACATTTTGATGGAAAGATCCCAATGCAATACACATTTTTTAGCTTGACTAAATGCATAATATAAAATTGAATACAACTAATAAACGTTTAGTAACATAATATTTATTACAAAATTTTACAAAAAATAATCTAATATAATAAGATTATTCTTATTATATTAGATTAAGAAAATAATCTAATATAATAAGAATTATATAATAAGAATAAATGTTACAGTTATGATTACTCTTATACTTAAATGTTGCGATTTATATTATATTATTTATATTAAACATTTTACATAAATTTACAACAGTTTTACACAAATTTACATTAATTAAACTTTTTACATTAATTTTTATTGATTTACATTAATTACACTAATTTACATTAAATTAGCTTACATTAAATAATAAATCAACATTATCTTAACTAACTTGCAATCATTTACACTTACACCATTTTCTTCAAATGTGACTTCAACAGTGATATCATTAACATATCAACATTTCAACAATTTGAGCTATTCAACAGTAATATCATTAACATACCAACATTTCAACAATTTGAGCTATTTAACAATGATATCATTAACGTACCAACACTTCAACAAATTGAGCTATTTAACCATGATATCATTAACGTACCAACACTTCAACAAATTGAGCTATTTAACAATGATATCATTAACGTACCAACATTTCAACAAATTGAGCTATTTAACAATGATATCATTAACGTACCAACACTTCAACAAATTGAGCTATTTAACAATGATATCATTAACGTACCAACACTTCAACAAATTGAGCTATTTAACAATGATATCATTAACGTACCAACACTTCAACAAATTGAGCTATTTAACAATGATATCATTAACGTACCAACACTTCAACAAATTGAGCTATTTAACAATGATATCATTAACGTACCAACACTTCAACAAATTGAGCTATTTAACAATGATATCATTAACGTACCAACACTTCAACAAATTGAGCTATTGAACAATGATATCATTAACGTACCAACACTTCAACAAATTGAGCTATTGAACAATGATATCATTAACGTACCAACACTTCAACAAATTGAGCTATTGAACAATGATATCATTAACGTACCAACACTTCAACAAATTGAGCTATTGAACAATGATATCATTAACGTACCAACACTTCAACAAATTGAGCTATTTAACCATGATATCATTAACGTACCAACACTTCAACAAATTGAGCTATTTAACCATGATATCATTAACGTACCAACACTTCAACAAATTGAGCTATTGAACAATGATATCATTAACGTACCAACACTTCAACAAATTGAGCTATTGAACAATGATATCATTAACGTACCAACACTTCAACTATTTGAGCTATTTAACAATGATATCATTAACGTACCAACACTTCAACAAATTGAGCTATTTAACCATGATATCATTAACGTACCAACACTTCAACAAATTGTGCTATTTAACAATGATATCATTAACGTACCAACACTTCAACAAATTGAGCTATTTAACAATGATATCATTAACGTACCAACACTTCAACAAATTGAGCTATTTAACAATGATATCATTAACGTACCAACACTTCAACAAATTGAGCTATTGAACAATGATATCATTAACGTACCAACACTTCAACAAATTGAGCTATTGAACAATGATATCATTAACGTACCAACACTTCAACAAATTGAGCTATTGAACAATGATATCATTAACGTACCAACACTTCAACAAATTGAGCTATTGAACAATGATATCATTAACGTACCAACACTTCAACAAATTGAGCTATTGAACAATGATATCATTAACGTACCAACACTTCAACAAATTGAGCTATTGAACAATGATATCATTAACGTACCAACACTTCAACAAATTGAGCTATTGAACAATGATATCATTAACGTACCAACACTTCAACAAATTGAGCTATTGAACAATGATATCATTAACATACCAACACTTCAACTATTTCAACAGTGATATCACTAACTCACCATTTGAAAAAGGCACCAGCAGAAGGTATTTATCCACTGCTAGCATAATAAATAAAATCACACAGAATTGCATTATCTGTGGCTTTTTTATCTGTTGTGTTTAAGAACACCAATAACCCTGGTCTGCAAAACAATTTAATGACAAGAAATACATTTGGTTTTAAAAATTAGCTACTTCTCTTCCATAATGTTATATTTAAATAAGAAAAAAGATTTATGGAAACTATCCAAATTATATAATTTGTGTGAAAGCATAGATGCTAAACTTGGAAACTTCCAATTTAAATGTTTATTTTATCTTGTATTTTATTTTATATTTTTTTTAATGTTAAATATTACCTGAGTACTTTTAAATGAAGTTTTGTATAACTATTTTTATAACCACATGTTTAAAAATAGTTTACTATTGGAAAAAAATGTTGTTCAGTTACTTTACAATTGCTTTTTACATATATTTTAAAACATTTAAAAAATATTTTATCTAAAAATTTTATTATCAAATTGTCAAAAAACAATTTTTTTTTTTTTAAATTTGCGAGTATCAAAAATGAAATATGATTTTAAACCATATGATTTTAAAATCATGTAAATTAAAATCATAATTTAAATCATGAACTATGATTTTTGACTTTGCTTTGAAACCATATTTTTAATGATTTAGTTATTTTTAAGCCTAAAATTATACTTAAATCAGTTTTTGTTATGGGTTTTCTTTAAAGTACGTACGCAAGTATAGGGGGAGGGAGGGTTACCTAAAAACACAAAAATGTGTACAAGGGTGGGTACAATTAACTAAAAGTTTTTTTTGTTTTTGATGTTTTGAAAAAATTATTATAATTATACCCTCCCTACTTTATTGCATAAATTATTATAAATAAATAATGCACACATATGAAATGGGGAAAGAAAAAGATTGTTCAAAACTTGTACAAGGGGGAGAAGGTCCTAAAACAGTAGTATTACTGAGTACATACTTTATGGGTGCCTTCTTGTTTTAACCAAATATAATATTATCCAGCAGGAAGGAAAACAACATTCTATACACCACTTGCTAAATAGCTTAGAGAAAAGTGAAGAGAGTTTTGGGAACACTTGTGCAAGATTATGAAAGAAAGTTATTTTAAACTACAAGTTGTAGAAGAGTTTAAGAAAGAAACATCTTATGCAACATAACCTGGAGTGATTTGAATTTTTAAAAATAAATTAATGAAATTCTTTTTAAATAGATTTATAGCAAATAATAATAAAATTAGACCCAAGTTTTAGAGATGGAATATTAAACTTGCTATTGTTTATGACAGTAAAAATCTTCTAAGCACTAACTACAGTCAGAGACAAAACACTAAACTAAGCACACACTACGGTCAGAGAATAAACACAAATTAAGGAGTGATTAGGGTTGTCTAGAAAACAAGTCACAAAGTTATCTGATTAAAAGATTGAGAATGACAAATATTTTGAGCTTTAGTGTCAGCAGGATCACTTAAATTTAAACTGAGCCATTAAGTGTTATCACACTTAATGGCTCAGTTTAAATTTAAGTGATCATTAAAGTCTGCAATAACAAATTTTTCTGAGAAATAAAAAAAAAAGATCTGGTTTAAAGCAGTTGCTAACTGACTTAAAGTCCCCTTTTCTTGGGGCTCTTTGTTAAGTATAACTTAGAGTCAGTGTCTCAATAAAAATATTCATCTTGAGCAGATGTTAACTGCATCCAGCAAATAATTGTAAAAAGTCTTCAGAGCAAAAACTTTATAACAGACCTTTGTGATACTAATTTAATTTTGGCTGTTTTATCTTCACATTAGAATAAGAATAGATAAGAAACTTTTATCAGAAACAATATTAAAAAAATTGTAATCTCGGGAGAAGAGCACCAATAAAGATAAAAAATAAAGGTATATATGTAAAAAGGTGTTATGCAAAAAAGGTGTTATGCAAAAGCACACTAAAGAATAATCAGAGGATTTAAATTTGAATTAACAAAAAATAGGTTAATTGATACATAAACAAGTATAAAATTATTTGCAAATCAAAAGATAATAGTTATCTTTTCTTATTCTAATGCAAAGGTAAAACAGCTAAATTTAAATTGGTCTCACAAAGACCTGTCTTAAAGTTTTAGCTCGGAAGACTTTTTACAAGCAGTTAACATTTGCACAAGATGAATATTTTTATTGAGAAACTGCCTCTAAGCTCTACTTAACAAAGAGTTCAAAGAAAAGGGGACTTTAAGTTTGAGTTAGCAACAGCCTAGAAACTGTAATCCTACTAAGCAGCAAAACATGGGACAGATTGTACTGAAATACATGTCAGGTCAGGTCATGTTTGGAAAACATGATCTGACCTAAAACCAGACATTTACTATCTATTGTTTATGTTAACAAAACATCTGATTAAGTATAGAAAAGTTATATACTATATACTGATGACATTAAAATTATATCAAATTTAGATTCTTCAAATGTTTTACTTTTGCAAAATATTTTAAACAAAGTATTTAATTGTTCAAAAAATGGCTAACTGAGTTATATATAAAAAAAATGTTTTTTAATAAATTATTGTTTAAACATCATAAAAAATTAAATGTAAGTAAATTAATTAAATGTAAATAAGCAAAAAGAAATAAGTATGGTTTTGAATATTTTGTGGGTTTTAACCTAAAGCTAATAAAAATTTTGCATTCTGGACAAAAATCTGCATGTTTCAGAGTAAATAGAACAGGGGAGGGGACAAAAATCTGCATGCTTCAGAGTAAATAGAACAGGGGAGGGGACAAAAATCTGCATGCTTCAGAGTAAATAGAACAGGGGAGGGGACAAAAATCTGCATGCTTCAGAGTAAATAGAACAGGGGAGGGGACTAAAACTATTTAAAAAGTTTAATTCAGATTTAATTTCAGGCTTCTATATAAGACATGTTTTATAATTATGAAAGGCTTCTATATATGACATATTTTTATTGCTTCATATAATGCAAACTAAAATACGTCAGTAACTATTTTTATTTATTTTATATAAAAATATTTTTAATAGTTTGTGCAAAATTTTTTTGTTCTGACTTTGTAACTTCTCCATAAATACTCACTATTTTTCTGTAATCTATATATATGCTATAAAGTATCAGAAGAAAATTAGTGAAGATCCTAGATTTACGGTGGTTTAAAATAAAGACACAATTTTTTAAAGTTTAGTCATTATTTTTTACTAAAATGTATCTAATCAGCAAATTTTTTAAATTTTAGGAATTCTATCATATATGGAAACTTTAAAAGTATGTCTTTTTATTTCACCATCAAAAATCAACTTTTTATGTTTGCAAATGATTTTTTAGATTTTGAGGTAGCCATTATGGATAGAATGTTACATTAAAAAATGTCAACATTTTAAAGTAAGTCTGGAGTTGTATACAATAAAAAAAAAACTTGAAGGTTTTCTGAAATTTTTTTTTTTTAAATATAGAGCATGAAAGTATGAAAAAAACATATTTTTGCTACTGAAATTTTTATTTTCATAAAAATCAGAAATTTCAAATGACCATATCTAAAGAACCACATTGTTATATGCTAGAACTTTCAGAAATTATTTTTCTCATTGATATATATCAACCTAAGTAGTTTCATCAAAAACTGAGGTGATCATTCTTGGACCTTGGTACATTTGGCATAGAATAACTCATATACATATATATTTGATGGAATACATGTGTAATCACACTTTGATGGAATATACCAATATACTGGTAACATGTAACCAAGTATCACGTAATTTATGTTGTACTGCCTTGTAGAATAGAAATTTTTAAGCAAAGGCTAGATTAATGCCCATTCTGACTTAACACATCCCCTGTCTTGGAGCTCTTGGTTGAGCAAAGGCTAGAGATGGTGTCTTAATAAAAATACTGGTGTCTTGATAAAAATATGTCTTGTAGAACGCCTCTACGGCAAAGGCTTAAGGTGTAAATAGATTCTATCTATTGACAAGCTTCGTGCCCCATCTACATCTATTAGGCTGGCATAGATAAATTTATAATACATTGTTTAGAATGTTAAATGCTAGATCTTCTTGACTCATTGCATAGGTTTTGCTTGTGTCCCTACTTTAAAGAATAGGCAACTCATTCTATTATCTCCTAATGAGTTTGTTATAAAACCCTATTTTTTTATTAAAAATGATAGGTTTTATCATGCATTAGATAGATATGGAGAAGTTAATGCTATTACTCTCGACATTTATAAAGCCTTTGATAAAGTTTGGCATGCTGGTCCTCTCCATAAACTTTCTTCTTACAATGTATCAAGTAACATCTTTAAGATTATTGAATCTTTCCTTACCAATCATAGCATAAAAATTGTCCTTCATGGGCAGCACTCTTCATCAGATTTGTAACTTCAGGGGTTCCTCAAGGTTATATTCTTGGCCCCATACTTTTTTATAAATTAAATAAAAGATCTCCTAGAACTTCTCAGTTCTAAGGTGGTATTCTTGCTGATGATACTACCATTTATTCTTGTCTTGATAAGAAGCCAACACTCTTAGATTGTTTGGAGGGGGCATTTGAGCTTGAAAAAGATCTCACTTCTGCTACAACACAGGGCTCTAAGTGGCTGTTAAAATCTAACTCAGATAAAACTCTTTTTTCTTTCAGCTAATTGTTTCAAAATATCCTAAATCTTCCTAGATTTATGAATGGTAATGTATTTGATGAGTCATCTACCCTTCTTTTTCTAGGATTAACTCTACCTTCCAATTTTTCTTGGAAACCATAAACCAAATCCATTGCAAAATTAGCACCTGCTATAGTTGCATCACTTTACTTATTGTGCTTGCCGCTTTCTTACTCAGGAATCCATTCTTTACTTCTAAAAATCTCAAATCCAACCTTGTAAGGAATACTGTTGCCATATCTGGGGTAGATCTTCCAATGATACCTTTTCAATTTTAGACAAGGCGCAAAAATTCTTCATAAACATAGTTGGACCTGCTCTTGCAGCCAACCTTTAACTATTTTCACAATATTGTAATCTTGCTTCTTTTTTTTTTTTCTATATATACTATAATGTATACAAAAGGTGCTGCTCTAAAGAGCTAGCGTCTCTTGTGTCATATACTAAAATTCATTCTTGTGTTACTCGCCATTCAACCATGTTTCATTAATTTACTGTGATTGATGCTAAGTGCTCCAAAAATTCTTATTCATCTAGTTTTTTCCCTCAAACATTAGTTCTTTAGAATTTGCTCCCTTCGTCTTGTTTTCCTGATTCATGTAACTTGCAATCTTTAAAGTTGTCTGTTAATTACTATCTTGCTTTATAAACTTCATCATTTCTCTACTAGTAACTTTTATCTCTAAAAGTGGTTGCTTGCAGCCTTGTTGGAAGTGAAGATGTTAATTTATATATATATATATATATATATATATATATATATATATATATACATGTATATATATATATATATACATATATATATATATATATATATATATATATATATATATATATATATATATATATATATATACATATATACATATATACATATATATATATATATATATATATATATATATATATATATATATATATATATATATATATATATATATATATATATATATATATATATGTATATATATATATATATATACATGTATATATATATATATATATATATATATATATATATATATATATATATATATATATATATATATATACATATATATACACATATATATATATAAAGCGAATTGTAGTTGATCATGTAATAGTACATAAAACATCATAAACTATTACATTAATAATCAATGCATGATACAGCCATTGAAAAAATCAATGTTTGTGTGCTTCTTTTTAGCTTTATTAATTTAACTTGAGTTAATAAAGTTAAATTAATAAAGCTAAAAAGAAGCACACAAACACAAATTAAATTAACTTTATTAAAAAATATTGGTAGAACTTTATATTAAACTTACCATGCCATTCGGTGCAGTACTCAACACTTGACCAAAGCCAACCCATTTATTTATAGAAGAAAGTTGTATCTCCAACCTTAAAGTTACATTATTATAATAATATTGAGCAACAGCGTTGCATGATGTAAAACTTGTACATCCTGGAGGCAAAGTTAAACAACTGACAGATACACCACATTGATCAAATGAAAACTGAAAAAAAAAACATTAAAATTAAATATTTTTAAAAAATTATTTGTAATATTAATCTTGTTTTTAACCTCTATTATTCAAAGCTTTTACTTTTTTCGATTTAGCTAATTTGGGTCTTAGTTTGGCTTAATGAGATTTAAATAACAGAAAATTTAATTATTTTTTAAATCCTAAAATACTTTTTCCTATATTTCAAAATGCCTAAAAAACACCTAGTTTACTAGTATGCAATGACACTGTTTGCTAATTAAGAAGCCTAATTTCAATGAAACATCATATAAAAAACATTTTTAGAGGTGATAATAAATACCATAAGGAGTGTAAAATAAGCCTAAAATCTGTGATTAAATTCCAAAGAAATTTATTGAGTTTGAAGTTCTTCACTAATATCTTTGTATAATTGCATTTTTTTAGCAACTTTATTTTTATTTTAAAGAGTTTTTAATTTTGTTAATCAACTTAAACAAATTTTATTGGCATTATTTTTGCTGATTTAGTGCAGCTAATGTGGTAGTGTTGTAGTGGTAGAGCGCTCACTTTACGAGCGAGAGGTGCAGAGTTCAATCCCCACCACGTCCCTAGTAATATCACGCTCAACTTGTTTCACTGTGCAGCAACCTTATTCGTTTCAGAGTTATAGAGTTGAGAGAGGGTTATAACCACAATTAAATAGCTTTCTCATTCTTAGCCTTGGGGAGGTGAATTAACAAATAAAAAAAATAAAAAAAAACTTAAGAATACTGATAACCTTCAGTTGATAGATGAATTTGATATAAGTTCTGCATTACAAAAATGCCATAATGAATGCTAAGTGCAGAAAAAAAATATTTTGTCCAGTAAATATTATTCTAATTAATAATATATTGACTTGCCATTATGTAGCTAGAACTAACAAGTACTTTGAAACTGATCTTGACTTCATTGATTGAACTTGTATTACCTGCAGCTTTCATATTAAAAAGTTAGATAAAAAAAAAGTTTTACAATTGTTTCTTAATTGTAATACAGCCTTCAACATATTTTTTATATAATCTGTGAACTGCTGTTATAGTTGTTGACTTTAACAAGAATAACATACAAAATCATCTAAAAGTTCTGAAAACAATGATTAATTGTTTAATAAAATAATAATAGCTGAATTTGGCAATATTGCACTTTCGGAGCTTGATACAAAATTTAAAAATTGCAGAAGTAAATGTAGTTAGGGCTGAACAAATTGATGCAGTAGTTGTGCCCTTACAAGATGCCTAAAATATTTTTTATAGAATGTTTTTTTACCTTTTAATGGAACCGTACATTTTATTTAACAGAGTGGAAAGCTAACACTTGTAGGAAAAGATATATTAGTGTAAAATAAGTAAATTTTTTAGTAATGTTAAAACTATTTTGGTAAAACTTCATAATAATTTCCATAATCAATATGATTGTCAACGGGACCTCTTTTCAGCTAAAAAACTGATAAGAGAAAATTTAATAGCAGTCTTCTGCTGTAAAAAACTGATATAAAGTCTGTCATCAAAAACATTAAATATAAAACAGTAAATGCTGGTTGAACTTTAAAAGTCACATCAGAGACTTACCAAATTATAATAAAAATTTTTTTTTGATCGATAAGATGTACAAGAAATATGAGAATCAATGGAAAAAAACTATAGGGTCTATAGTTATTTCTATTGATTTAAACATTTAGTCAGAAAAAGAAACCAGTATTCATAGTTCATTAGCTCTTGAAATCTCATGCATCAATCAAAAAAAATTAAAACTGTAGCTAACTTATCACTGCTTCACCTGATCAAATCCTTCTGTTCCTGATCAAATACTTGCACACTTCAAGTCATTGCATTCTTTGGCCAAGAGCCAATTATACTTACTAATTACAAAATAATATCACTTGATAGTTGAATGAAAATATTTTTAATCTTGGAACTAGCATGCTGTCCTTAGTTAAAGGAGCACATTTGGAAAACTTTAATGAAAAAGATTGCATGAAACTTTTGAGAGAATTTAAGAAAATTCTAATTTGCTCCTTTGAAAAGAAAATGTCAGTTAAACTTTTACATTCATTCAAAAATGTTAAAGAAAGTTACACATGCTTTGAAAACAAGTTGGATTCTGATCATAAAATAAAGATTGTAAATTCAAAAAAGGTATATAACACACCATGTTCTTGTCACTCTAAAATTGCATGAAATATTTTATATTTTTCCCTAATCTATAAAATTAACGTTTTAACTAAAATAAATAAGTTTCTTTACTTTAATATCTATTAAATCTATTATTATAATATAACATAATTTATATAATTTATATATTAATCTCTTAAAGCAATAAAACCAAGTTTCTTTACTTCAAGAGATCGGGAGCAAATTTCGGTCAAATTTCAAGAACCACTTGGAAAGATACAAAAGGGCAATCAAACCTAGACTAATTAAATCAGCTTCCTAAATGTATAGTTAATTACAATAGCAAAAAATCAAAATCAAAAACTGAAAAAAACATATTCCTTTATTAAGTCATAAAAATTTGATATTTTGATAGCGAAGAAAAGATCCTAAATTAGTAAAGTGTGATCATGATCACACTTTACTAATTTAGGATCTTTTCTTCGCTATCAAAATATCTAATTTTTATGACTTAATAAAGGAGTATGTTTTTTTCAGTTTTTGATTTTGATTTTTTGCTATTGTAATTAACTATACATTTAGGAAGCTGATTTATTTAGTCTAGGTTTGATTGCCCTTTTGTATTAAGCTGATTTAATTAGTATAGGTTTGATTGCCCCTTTATGCATAAAGATTTTTGTGTGACTTGCAATGATGTTGCAATGTTTATTTATTTAAAATGTCTTAAGTAAATTTATACTTGCTGTAACAACGTATTGAAACGTAACATACGTTACGGTTTTGTTACAAATGTTTGTTACTTTTACGTAACTGAGACGTAGCATTTTTACATAACGAGACTTAACAGTTTTGCGTAACCTTTACTTATTAAATGTAATTTTACGAAACGAAATGTAACAATCTAACTTATGGAAACGCGTGCAAAAATGCACAAGCAAAAATGTATAGAAAATGTCAACCTTAATTTGGTTAATATAACACCAACATTCAAGTTTTTAAAAAACGGTGTAAGTATTGTTTGGTTAATATAACACCAACATTCAAGTTTTTATAAAACGGTGTAAGAATAAAAAAAAATTTAATCAAATAAAAAATAATTTAGACAACACTTTTTTACTTTTTTTTAGTTTCTTTTATGATTTTTTGTTTGTGACAAATAAAATACGTTATCATCGTTTGAAATAATTAAAAAGTAGACGATCGAATAATTTTTCCGACAATAATAGATTGAAAACTTCATTTGAACAGAATTTCAATTTTTTAAAACGACTTAAAAAAATTAAAACCCCGTAAAACTATGCAATATTTCTTTGTTTTGCAGCCGTGGCGCAGTGGTAGATTGCTTGCCTCAGAAACAAGAGGGAGCGCGCCCCAACTTGTTTCTGAGAGAGCACGCCCCTCCCCTATTTTTTTTAGTGTGGACCTTTTTTCTTTTTTTCGTAAAGAAATTGATAATTTTTATAAGAAACCAAGAAATTAAAATCTTGTTGAAAGTCATCTATGTTGGTTTAATCTTTTTCTCTCGTTCTAAGAAATAAAAAGAAGCAACTACTTGTTCTTTTTTCTTTCTTTTTATTTTTTTCGTATTCTCATATTATTTCGTTTTACTTTACGGCTTTTATATATGTATAATTCAGTTTCTTTTTTTTGCAATATTATCTGCTATCAATGTTTTGCAATGTAATAAAGCAAAAATATATTCGAAAACGTAATTCAAATGAGACACGTCTATCACTAAAACAAAATTTATTTTATTATTTTTATTATTTATTAGTTACAGCTCTTAAAGGTTATGTCTGTTACAAATATTTTCAAAGATACCCGGTGCCGAGTACATCAAAAAAATGGCCGATTCCGGGTACCCGGTAAAACGGCCGAAGTACCGGGTCCCCGGGTCCAACCCGGATACCGGCACATTCTAATATATATATATATATATATATATATATATATATATATATATATATATATATATATATATATATATATATATATATATATATATATATATATATATACATATATATATATGTGTGTGTGTGTGTGTGTGTGTGTGTGTGTGTGTGTGTGTGTGTGTGTGTTTGTGTGTGTATATATATATGTGTGTGTATATGTTAAATTATATTTTGTATTTGCAAATAAAATACTAAAACTCTTGTAGGTATATGAGTGCTCAATAATGAATAAACAAACAATTTGTTTTTTTTTATTTAATAGAGCATTTTATATATATATATATATATATATATATATATATATATATATATATATATATATATATATATATATATATATATATATATATAAAACTACAAACAAAGAAAATGCAACTTTTTATGGTTTTAATAGTTTAAAATAGAAGTTTTATTTAAAAAGAAAATAGAAAAAAAGAAAGCAAAACGAAAAAGTAAAAACAAAACAAAAAAAAAGACACTTGAAAAGAAAAAAATAAATAATTATAAGATCAAAAGATAAAGGTAGATTTTTTTTTGTTTGTCTTTATCTTATTGGATTTCAATTTAATTTGTTACTTTTACTTTTTAGTATACTGTTTATTATTACTTTTTAGTTTAGGGCTCGTCCATAAAGTACGTACGCTTATGGGGGTGGGGGGTGGTGGAATATAATTAGAGTAAAACGCCCAAATTGTTTGAAGATTTTGAAGATGTTTTTTCAAAATGGTACGTAATGATACAATCTTTGTTTAACTTTTTCTGTTGAGCGATATAACTATGAAACACCATCATTGTATGAGTTTTAGTTGATAATGATTGGTTATCTCATACCGTTGAATGAACTTCATGTTTCACTGTGAATCATTTTAAAGAAACCTAAGTTTTGCCAACCTAGTACTCCAACTCTAGTCTTTTTAGTTTT